TTTCCTGGTTAAGTTTGCTTCTTGGACACTATAAGCAATAGGTCAACTATATTTTGTGTATGGAATGATTGTAAGGTGTACATGTATATCCGGTTTGGTTTATCTGACCTTGGCCTCATTTTCTTGGATCATGTTAAGTTTATGTGATACTTGTAGTAAAGCTTTATATTTAGTACTATCAACATAAAATCAATGATTAGTAAAGCAGGTGAGACATTTCAGCATGTGCACTCTTGTTTGCAATTACAAATGTATTTTGAAAATTGTAGTTGAAATTTAGAAATTGTAAACTGCAAACATGATAAACATAACTAGACTTATCTACAATTTCAGAAAAAAATAAATGTTTTGGATTAATGGCCTTGGAAATGTAAATTTTTTATAGCACTTATCACATTTTTTGGTCATATCTCAAAAACTATAATAGCCTGGGGAGAATTAAAAAAATAAAGTTATCAGCAAGCCAAGATCTACAATTAAGTTATCATGACCTAATCAATTAATTGGCTTTAATTTTTGTTCTGCCTGCGACTAGTCGCAGTATGCAAGACATAGGTATTACAATCAGGCGACGGCGTAAACTATTTGTTTAAAGCTTTATATTTCAGAAGATAAAAGACCTGGATGCTTCATACCTTTTATGCAGATATCTTATGTTACGAAGCTTCCATCTGTCATATGTCCATTGTCCTCATTTTCATGGTTCATTTAATGCTTGAAAAAAAAAGTTTTTTTGTTAAGTGAAATACTCATTTATTATGAGTAATAGGATAACTATATTTGGTATATGGATTAGTGACCAGGGTTAAAGTTGCATGGTCAAGTCCGTAGCTCCACTGGTCAACTATATTTGGTGTATGGAATGATTTTAAGGGGTACATGTCCAACTGACAGGTTTATCTGACCTTGACCTCAATTTCATGGAACATTTAGCAATGTTTAGTTTTTGTGGTTTGGTCTATTTCTCAGATACTATAAGCAATAGGGCCACTATATTTGGTGTATGGAATGATTGTCATCTGCCAGGTTTCGTCTGACCTCGACCTCATTTTCATGGTTCATTGGACAATTTTTTGTTTTGTAGTTTGGTCTACTTTGCAGATGTTATAAGCAATAGGTCAATTATATTTAGTGTATGGAATAATTATGAGGTGTACAGGTCTATCTGGCAGGGTTCATGACCTTGACCTCATTTTCATGGTTCATTGGTCAATCAAAAGTTGTGTGATTTTGTTAGTTTATCAGATACTAATAGCAATAAGTCTAACTATATTTGGTGTATGGAATGATTGTAAGGTATACATGTCTGCCTGTCAGAGTTCATATAACCATGACCTCATTTTCATGGTTCATTGGTCAATCATAAATTGTGTGATTTTGTCAGTTTATCAGTTTATGTGATACTTGTAGTAAAACTTTTATATTAGAAACTTTCAACATAAATTCAATGATAAGTAAAACAGGCGAGACATTTCAGCTATGTGCACTCTTGTTACACTTTTTTTGGTGTTTTTGGCAATCAACTTCAAATTTTAAAATTCAAATAGAAACTGTAAACACCAAAAATAATCAGCAAAATAAGATCTCCAAACATGCCAAAATTACAGAAATTGTTAATTGACTCCTTACTGGAGTTATGGCCTTTAAATGATGATTTTACCAATTTTATTTATGTTTTTTGCTGTTTTCTTGAAAACTATAATAAATAGGGCAAAACTGTAATAAACAAAACTGATGAGCAAATTCAGATCTACAAACCAGAATTGTTCAAACTACTTCTTTATGATGATTTTGATTTTTATACGACCGCAAAAATTAAAAAAATTTTGGTCATATATTGGTATCACGTTGTCGTCTTTGTCAGCGTTGTCCGAAGACAGATGGTTTCCGGATAATAACTTTAGTATAAGTAAATAGAAATCAATAAAATTTTAACACAAGGTTTATAACCACTAAAGGAAGGTTGGGATTTATTTTGGGGGTAATGGTGTCAACTGTTTAGGATTTAGGGGCAAAAAAAGGGGCCCAAATAAGCATTTTTGTAGTTTCCAGACAATAACTTGTGTTTAAGTGTATGAATCTCTCTGAAATTATACCACAAGTTTCCATACAACAAAGGGATGGTTAGGATTGACTATGGGGGGTTATGGCTCAAACCATTTAGGAATTAGAGGCAAAAAAGGGAAAAACAAGGTAATCCAATCCCAATTTAAAACAACAATGTTTGATTACCTCCCTTACACTGCTTGTAAATTATGTATTAAGAAATGATGATTGTCTTGAGGTGATTAGCTGTCAATTTATTTTTAAAAGTTACTATTAATTAATATTAATTTTAGCCATTACCATGTATGTCATTTTATATTTTAAGACTTGTATGATGTATTTAAAAGGGTTATTATGGTTGCAAATTTTAATAAAATTTTGAATTGAGATTATGACTATATCTTGAGGGAATGATTTTTTTTGGAATAAGGGAAAGGGGGAGGTGAAAAAACATTGGGGGGGGGGGGGGGGGGGGGGGTGACTATTTTTTCTCATTTCAGATTTCAGAAATTAAACAGAAAAGTTCTTCAAATATTTTTTTTTGGGGGTTAATATTCAACAGGATAGTGTATTGCACAAAAGCAAAAAAATGGGGTCTATTTTATTTAGGGGGAAAGGGGGGGGGGGGTCAATTTGCAACAGCATAGTGTATTGCACAAAAGCAAAAAATTGAATATAAATTCAAATCATATAACCAATTTTTGAGTTCTTTGACTACAGTTATTCTGTGGCAGAACCCTATTATGTGTCAAATATTTAATTACAATCCAAATTCTAACCTGTATCAAGCGTGAATATTGTGTCCATTTTGGCCCCAACTTTTCAGGGTTTGGACATCTGCAGTCGTATCCAGCTGCGCTCAGCGAAGCAATTTATTTTGCGTTTATTATCTTGAAAATTATAATAGAAACTTCAAAAAGGTAAATTGACCAGCAAGACAAAATCTACATGAAAGTCAAATGATGAAATTTACTGCCACTGTAGCTACAGGTTTTAAAGATGCATTTTTTGACACATTCCCCATTTCCATTTTCAATTTTATTTAACATCACACTGCATCTACTTGTTAATTGCAAAAAAACACTTAGTCCATTTATCAGTGAAATACAGAAAAATAAAAATAAATGATTTCAAAATTTTGCTCTGAATACTGTATTGTGGTCATTAACAAGCTTCTGTCCAAATTTCATAAAATTCCATGAAGGTTTGACAAAGTTATTGATGTCTAAAAAAATTTAACCTCAGACTGAGCATGAATGTTTACTGTAAAAAAGTTAAGTCCATTTATCAGTAAAATTCAGAAAAATTAAAATAATTTTTTTTCAAATATTGCTCTGGATTCTCTTTTTTGGCCATAAACAAGATTTTGTCCAAATTACAAAAAATTCCATGAAGGTTTGACAAAGTTATTGATGTCTAAAAAAATTTTAACCACAGACTGAACCTAAATGCTGGCAACGGAATCTAGAATCACTTTGTCTCACTTTCGCGACATAAATATCACAGACTTGACAAATTTTTTTACCAAGCTTGTAATCAAGAGAAATGAAGCTCAAAGCTTAGAATTACTGTAAATTTTTACAAGGCTTGAAGAATTTAAAATTGATTAAAACTGATGTTTTTTCCCTCAGATAGCTTAAAGATACCAAAAATTTATCCACACTGATGTTTTTTTTCTTCAGATAAACTAAAGTCAAATGGTGTTATCAGAACATACTGATAAATGCAAATTTAGAAAAACTAGACATCATTGAGATGGGAGCCATCTCTGTGGGCCCCGCTGTAAAAAACACGTGGTAGGATATGGGGTTGTCAACTGAAACCAAAGTTTTTGACCTTTGACCTAGGAAGTTGTACATACATTATGACACACCCTCTGGTGTTGGTTAATATACATATTAAGTATAAAGTATGAAATCATAAAGGTTCTCAAGATATAGAGCGGACACGACTGAAACCAAAATTTTTGACCTTGAACTTTGACCTAGGCAGTTGTACAAACATTATGACACACCCTCTGGTGTTGGTTAATATACATGTCAAGTATAAACTTTGAAATCATAACGGTCCTCAAGATATAGAGCGGACATGGGGTTGTCAACTGAAACCAAAGTTTTTGACCTTGACCTTTGACCTAGGAAGTTGTACATACATTATGACACACTCTCTGGTGTTGGTTAATATACATGTCAAGTATAATCTCTGAAATCATAACTGTTCTCAATATATAGAGCGGACACGACAGAAACCAAAATTTTGGACCTTGAACTTTGACCTAGGAAGTTGTACAAACATTATGACACACCCTCTGGTGTTGGTTAATATACATGTCAAGTATAAAGTATGAAATTATAACGGTCCTCAAGATATAGAGCGGACATGGGGTTGTCAACTGAAACCAAAGTTTTTGACCTTGACCTTTGACCCAGGAAGTTGTACATACATCATGACACACCCTCTGGTGTTGGTTAATATACATGTCAAGTATAATCTTTGAAATCATAACTGTTCTCAATATATAGAGCGGACACGACTGAAACCAAAATTTTTGACCTTGAACTTTGACCTAGGAAGTTGTACAAACATTATGACACACCCTCTGGTGTTGGTTAATATACATGTCAAGTATAAAGTATGAAATTATAACAGTTCTCTAGATATAGAGCAGACACAATTTGTTACGGACGGACGGACAGATTGGTCACTATAGGGCGACCTGCCACTAGGCGGGGCCCTAATGAAACTACCTACCAGTATTTTACTTCAATTCTTGTTTTTAATTTTATAATCCTGAAACATTTTACAAGCACAAATATTCTATCACCTTAACTTTCGAAACTTCTAATCCAGTAGGTTCTGTGTTCACTTTTGCAGTATATCTGTGATGATGCATGATAAGAGAGATAGACTGATTTACAAGGAAACTACGGTATACAGCAAATAAAACATTCAAGCAAATATTTCAAATTTATTTAAGATAAATTGCCATCAACTTTCTTCAGCAGTATACATAACAGGCATTTCATCTTTCTCATCTGGTTTACAATCTGATTCATTGTTCTGGTCACATATGACATTATGTTTATCTGATGTAGTACTGGTATCCTGTCTTACAATATCCTCATGCGTGTTGCTAGAAGATGCTTTATTTGCATAACAGTCTAATATTGCACTCGTCACAGCTAATTCTTTTTGTAGTGATGTATCTTTTTCATGTTTCTCCTTCTTTTCAACTTGTCTTTTATACTCCTCACGTTCCTCTCTGTTAACAGAACCAAAAGAAATATTTCAGTTAAATAAGTTAATCATTGTCTCGCCTTGACGGAGTCAAAAAGTAAGACATAGATATGCTGTACCGGCGGCGGTGGCGGGATCAACAATGTGTTAGTTTGTGATTCGGTCAGTTTATGGGGAACCACTAGTGGTTAATCAATGATATTTCTTATGCAGTTATATTAGCATTGGCACATCTCATTTCCATGGAGAGTATTTGGCCCTGCCCCCTCAGTCATGGTCAGTCTGAATTACTGTAAATTCAGAAATTTATGCAATGTTTTTATCATTGTGAAAATTGTGACTTGAAAGTTTTGCAAAAAATAAAAAATTCTAAATTAATACACACAAAAGTTTTTGAATTTACAGTTAACTTGTCAAAAATATTGTACTGAATGTCCACCTTTTGTTTCAATTGGAAGAGATATATAAATGTTATTGCAAAATTTGAATTGATCAATTTTTATTCTTTTCTTCATGCAACTACAATAAGACCACATATTCTTTTTCAAGAGTTCTCCATGTTGTAGCAGACATTACTCTTACATACAAAAGAAGACTATTGAAAATGCAATATATTGTCAGCATTCCCTCTTCATATTTGAGCCTATTTAAACTAGAAAACTGACAGCAAGGGTCCTGCATGTCCATTTTTGTGTGAGGTACATACTCAAATCATCAATACTTGTGCAAACAAAGCAATTCATGGTCATAGTGTAGCCATTTTGTTCAATTTTGACACCAGGAATTAATTCAGGATGTGTTCTTAATAAATATAAAGTTTTGTAAAATCAAAATACTTAGTTATTTCATTTCAATCAGATCAGTATATAATACCAAATCCATTTTCCATGAAATCCTAGCAAAAACAAATGTTTCTCTAAATATGTGATTTTTTTTTAACAAAAACAAAGTTTTAACCACAATTTTGACATCAAGAATAAATTTGTGAATGCATATTATGCTTATACAGTCGACTCTCGTTATCTCGAAGTCAGCCGGACCAAAGAAATATTTCGAGATACCTGTAGTTCGACTCAAACGAAAACCGGAAGTTTGACAGTCCAAGGGACATAACTCTTGCTTAGCTTGGTAAGGCTAAAATAAATCAGGATGGGAAGGGGATCGATATTCTGGTCTCAGATCGATGTTTTTCTATGTTATGGTCTATTATTATTATAATAACATTTTATGTTTCTTATTTATTTCTTTGTACAGTTACAATTTGTCCCTGTGGCTTTTAGCCTAGAGAGTCATTTCCAATTGATCTTAGAGTTATTTAAAGTCGACAGAATTGTTCATTCTCGTATACAAGAGATTTTAGAAAATTAAGATTTCTTTTAATTTTCTTTCATTTAATTTTTTTCTGCATGAGAAAATACAACAAAAAAAATAAAGACGCCGATTGAGTAGTTTTGGGTTGATCACCAACGGAAGTCTTAATCCCCACTTTATACACAGCCAAGCTCATTAGTGTATGATTACGATTAATTGTTTTTAAAACATTTTAAATAATTTTTCATAATCTATAGAAATGTATCACTAATTATTTATCACGGTGATCAAAGAATCTTGGGTAAACACTCGTGGAAAAAGCATGTCATAAATCAATACAGTGGTCAGTGACCGGAAAATTAATTACACGTGTATTGTAAGATTAACTCTTCAATCCATTTAAATCCCCGAGGTCATGTTTTGACATATGTGTTTTAGTTCGAGATAAATAATGAATTTTGAATGGTTTTGTTAACCTTGGGACCATAAATTTAGTTCGAGTCAACCGAAATTTCGACTCATCCAATTTCGACTCATTAGGAGTCGAAATACATATATTTATATGGAACAAAGTTCGGGACCACGAGAAAACCTTCGACTCATCCGAAATTTCGAGTCAACCGAGTTCGAGACAACGAGAGTTAACTGTATTTCAATTTTTCGTAATAATTCAACAAACACAAAATGATGTTTCTTAAAATTTGTGCATTTTTAAAACAAAAAGAAATTATTTACCCCAAATTTGACACTAGGAATCAATTTACAATGGAAAATTATACATGTTTATCATATTATTTAAAAATCTTCTAAAAAAAAAAGTGTGATCTTTTTTAACAAAAAGTATTGTTGAAATCTACCAAAAAAAGAGTTTCTCAATATTCATAATTTTTTATACAAAAACTAAGTTTTTTACCACAATTTGTGTCAAACTTTCTAAATAATTGAAAGGGACCTTAACGTTGTGCATAAAAATTATGGAAATAAGTTTTGGCAATCTTGACTTATGGTACAACCTAGAAATGCTGATGAACTGACAGTTGAACTAACAGTGTGATTACTATATAAACCGCAAACTAGTCATTGGGTCCTCATGAATTTTTTTATTCAAATTCAACATTATGAAAAGTTTTGACATAGTTTAGAAGCCCAAAAGTTAAAATCAAACAAAATACTAAGGACAAAATTCCTCATTTCCAAGTCCCATAACTTCCATGACAATTGTCAAATTTAAATGACTGCATCTCCGGGTGCAGGATTTTCTCGCTGCATTGAAGACCCATTGGTGGCCTTCAGCTGTTATCTGCTCTTTGGTCGGGTTGTTGTCTCTTTGACATATTCTCCATTTCCATTCTCAATTTTATAGTATTGTGAAGAAAATATAATGTAAAATTGTTGTACCAAGTTTGATAATTTTTGGCCATAGTCTCTGTTTAAGTGGATTATGGTCAGAAAAAGATTAATTTTGGGTCCCCTGTAGTGCAACCAGGAGGGGACAAAAAATTAAAAATCTAAAGTGAAGAAAGTTCACAAGATATACAAACCTTTTTCTTTTTGCTCTAAGCATTCCGTTATGTTTTTTTCCCTTCAAATGTGCTAGAAATATAAAAACATATTTTTAAATATCATAAAATTAAGTCAAAACTAGAACTACTGTGAGCAAATTCATACCTCATGCTCCCCCTATTTGTATATATATATTACAAAGTTGGAAATATAAAAAAAATGGAAAAGAAAAGAAAAATAAGAGGTGCAAAATGTCATTAGGTACTAAAATTCTGTGAATGTTCATTGATATCAAGTGAGTAGGTTTAGGGGAGTTGCTTATACAAACAAGAGGCTCTATAGAGCATGTGTCGCTCACCTGGATCTAAGCACATCTTCAACAATGGCCACTCTCCAACATTGTAGACTATACTATGATTCATGACTTAATTCTCTTTTTTGTTGATCTTGTATTGCTGATCATTTTTTTCTGTTTACTTTGTCTCTATCTGCTTTAGTTTTTGCCAAAAACACAAAAATGGGTCTTCATTTTAAAGGGCAACAACTCTCATCAGAAGTGGTCTCATAGAGTTGCTGTAAATGGACAGAAGGTATATCTCAACATTTTTGCCCAAGCAGTTTTTCTTTTTTTGAAATGGTTATCAAGATAATAGAGAAAACTTGCATTTTAGCCATGTTGGCCATGTTGGATGGCAGATGGGTTCATCAGAATTTTTTTTTAAACTAGATACCCCAATGATGATTGAGGCCAAGTTTGGTTCCAATTACCAAGTAAGTTTCAGAGGAGAAGCTTTTTGTAAAAGTAAAAGGATGAGAATGACAGATGATGGACCCCAAGTGATGAGAATAGCTCACATGATCCTTTGGATCAGGTGAGCTAAAAACCAACCAGCTTTTCACATTCAGGTCAACAACAATGTTACATATATAAGTTTTTAATATAAACAGTTTCTTGAAAAGTTAACTAGCTGTTTAGGATGAGTTGTGGATGCATGATGCTTTCCCCTTTCAATAGATGTAGAAAGTCAATGCCAAAAATTTCTGAATAAAATAAAATGCTCCGCTGGGGCGCAGCTTGATACGACCGCAGAGGTCGAACCCTGAACAGTTGGGGCAAGTATGGACACAACATTCAAGCTTGATACAGCACTGAATTTGGATTGTAATTAAATATTTGTCACAGCATAGGTTTCTGACACAGAATGAATGTGGTTTAAGAACTTAAAATTTTTTAATTTACCTATTTAAACCATATCATTATTATTTGCTTTTATATATAAATCAGAAGGAACCAATTTAAAATGGAAAATTTTAAAGAAAAAAAAGGAAAAAAAAATCCCCCCCCAAATTTTTTGAACCCCCTTATGATTCATCACCCCCAAACTCAATCCCAGCCTTCCGTTACTGGTGTGGTACCTTGCAGTACAATTTCAGAGAGATCCATACACTTGAACACAAGTTATTGTCTGGAAACTAGAAAAATGCTTGTTTTTGGCCCCTTAATTCCTAAATGTTTAGGGCAATTACCCCCAAACTCAATTCCAGCTTTCCCTTTGTGATATGGAACCTTGCAGTACAATTTCACAAAGATCCATACACTTACACACAAGTTATTGTCCTGAAACTAGAAAAATGCTTGTTTTTTGCCCCTTTATGGCCCCTAATTCCTAAAATTTTGAGGGAATTACCTCCAAAATCAATCCCAGCCTTCCCTTTGTGGTATGGTACCTTGCAGTACAATTTCAGAGAGATCCATACACTTGAACACAAGTTATTGTCTGGAAACTAGAAAAATTCTTATTTTTGACCCCTTTTTGGCCCTTATTCCTAAACGTTTTGGGCAATTACCCCCAAACTCAATTCCAGCTTTCCCTTTGTGATATGGAACCTTGTAGTACAATTTCATAAAGATCCATATACTAACACAAGTTATTGTCATGAAACTAGAAAAATGCTTGTTTTTTGCCCCTTTTTGGCCCCTAATTCCTAACATTTGGAGGCAATTACCCCCAAAATCAATCCCAGCATTCCCTTTGTGATATGGAACCTTGTGGTACAATGTCAGAGAGATCCATACACTTACACACAAGTTATTGTCATGAAACTAGAAAAATGCTTGTTTATTGCCCCTTTTGGGCCCCTAATTCCTAAAATTTGGAGGCAATTACCCCCAAAATCAATTCCAGCATTCCCTTTGTGTTATGGAACCTTGTGGTACAATGTCAGAGAGATCCATACACTAACACACAAGTTATGTCTGGAAGTTACAAAAATGCTTATTTTTGGCCCCTTTTTGGCCCCTAATTCCTTAACTGTTGGTACCATAACCCCCAAAATCAATCCCCATCTTCCTTTTGTGGTATTGAACCTTATGATAAAATTTCATAGAGATCCAATCACTTAAACTAAAGTTAGAGTGCGAAAACCAATGTGTCTTCGGACGACTACGACGACGACAATGTCATACCAATATACGACTGCAAAATTTTTTTTGCGGTCGTATAAAAATGTTTGTTTTTTGCCCCCTTATTCCTAAAATTTGGAGGCAATTACCCCCAAAATCAATCCCAGCATTCCCTTTGTGATATGGAACCTTGTGATACAATGTCAGAGAGATCCATACACTTACACACAAGTTATTGTCATGAAACTAGAAAAATGCTTGTTTTTTGCCCCTTTTTGGCCCCTAATTCCTAAAACTTGGAGGCAATTACCCCCAAAATCAATCCCAGCATTCCCTTTGAGACATGGAACCTTGTGGTACAATGTCAGAGAGATCCATACACTTACACACAAGTTTTGTCTGGAAGTTACAAAAAGGCTTATTTTTGGCCCTTTTTTGGCCCCTAATTCCTTAACTGTGGGTACTATAACCCCCAACCTTTCTTTTGTGGTATTGAACCTTATGGTAAAATTTCATTGAGATCCATTCACTTAAACTAAAGTTAGAGTGCGAAAACAAATGTGTCTTCGGACGACGACGACGCCGCCGCCGGACAACGACGCCAACGTCATACCAATATACGACCACAAAATTTTTTTTGCAGTCGTATAAATACTGAAAAAGGTACAAAATACTCAGATTTACATAACCTGTCATTGTGTCCAATCAGAAATAAGGTTGCAGATCTATGATGTATATGGGTGTCCTATTTTCCAAATATGAACAAATGATGATATATGGGACATGTCAATAGGACATGTCAATGAGACAGTAGCCCAACAAGACAACATAACTAAGCAAAGATGTTAGACTTCTATCATCTTATACAAAAAAAAAATTTATATGAAATCCTGAAATCAACAAAAATTTTGCTGCTTCATTATTTGTACTATACAATTATTTTTTTCAAGTTAATCAGCTTCAAGTTGTTTGGCAAATTCATACAATGATCCTTTGACTACTTTAAATAGTAATATCAATGGGTACGTTTTTGTAAGTGTATACCTTCCCATTCCTGATTCATAGTGAACACCATATCACAGACATCACAGATATTGTAAACAGGAACATTGTAGGATTGCTCTGCAGGAATAGGTTCATATTCAGTCTTCTCTCCCTAGAAGTAGAAGTTACCAGAATTTACAAAATGTTGACAATGGCCATTCTATAGCCTTTTCAACTGATTCAATTCTCTGTAAGTTTAGTAGCAATTAAACTGACTGTTAATACATGATCTTTCAAAAAAATCATCTGAGAAATATTTCAAACACTGAGCCCTATAATAAGAAACAGTTTCTCTAAACCCAATTATGCATGAGCCTTATAAAAGCTTCTGGCTTTGTGTAACTTTAACCATATTGATCTTAACCATTTTATAGCTATATAACATTTATAAATAAAATAAAAAAAAAGGATAACACTCATGATGCATGAAAATAAAGTTTCATTTCACTGAAACAAAATATATTTACTTCTGGCATGATACATGAGAAAGTTTTTATTTTCTAATGTCTCTTAGAACTGTGTAATAATTCTCAGATATTTTGTTTATTTTCAATGATCGGAGTTGAAAGTAAAGCAGAAGTATAAGTGACAAAATGCAGTTCAAACTATTTCTGCTCAAAATTCAAACCTACCCCTCCATTCAAATATATGGAATATTACAAAGTCCATGCTTTGCTGCCGAAAAGCACCTAGCTTATATAATTGGAAAAATAAAATGAGAGATTCACAATGATCTTAAGTAAAATTCTAATACAGTTTCAAATGGAACTATATATAAACTAAAGTAGTTCTGAAAAATTGGGGAGATTGTTACATTTTGAAAGCAGTCATGCTAAGGAACATTTCTGTCATGTCAGGATGGATAGATGATTAATACCAATTCTCTGTATTCATCAACACAATTTGGAAGGTCACCAATTTTGTTGAAACTTCTGACAACAAACATTGACATAAAATATGAAAACAGTATGTTTGTGTCACACTGCATGTTGTTTGGTTACCATGGCAACAGAGATTAAGTTTTAGACAAAGATGATGTTTGGGATTCTCTGCTTACAGTCACTTATATATTATATAATATGTTTGTTAAAGTTCAAATCATTTTTATTTGATAAATACAGTCGAACCTCATTAAGTCAGTTGAAGGGACCGGACGAAAGCATTCGACTCATCCGAGGTTTCCACTCATCAGAGGTCATGTGTGTCATAATAAATTTGGAATGCATGAAATACGGTATGGCATTTGTGTAAACTAAATACTTTCAACATTGTGACTTTTTCAAGCTCTATATTTTTTGGTCCTTCATAGTAATTAAACACACAAGTTCAGATACAAAACATTCACAAATAAAATCAATACACAATTATTTACAAAGGTCAGCCACTATAAATTATGGAATCACCCAGAGATCACTGATGAGGGTCGTCTGTTTTTCTTTCAATTATTGTAAATTTTTCATAATTGTCTTAATCCTTTTAATTATTGTAATTAATGAATTTTAATTCAAACGATTCATTTAATCTCTGCTTGGGTCACTAGAATTTGTTTCGTTTTCATATCAGGTGAAATATGTTCATCCCACTAAAGTTCCGCTTGGACGATCAACAAAGATGTTAATTACTGGTCACCATAAACATGTCATTTTAACTGTTTTACAAAAAAGTATGTTTATATACACAGCTTTAATCACTTATGAAAACGATAAGTTTACATAAGAAAAACGTCTGATTTGAAATTTTATCTTTAAGTCTACATTTTTCGAAATTTCTTACTTTCGAACTTCAAGACATTGGGGGTAGTTTACATAAATTTTCCATCGAAGGGACTATAAAATTTATTCGACTTAACCGAGAATTTCGAATCATCCTAGTTCGACTCATCAAAGGTTATAATGCGTTGATTAAACAGGAATTTTGCCGGGACCGAGCACAAGTTTTCGACACAACAAGGTTTGACTGTACTTTTTTCTCTCATGTTTTACAACAAATGTTCTTTCATGAAACATTCAGCTAGCAATCTTTTAGCCAATAACATGATGAAATACCATAGTGTGATGTAAGTATGTACTTAGCTTTGTTCTAAATGGATATGCTAAGCAGAACTTTTTACATGCTAGGTCAGAATGCAACAGACAACAGGATTTCAGGCCTAACTATGCTGGCCTAACGATGCTGGAACATTATTTTTACTTGAAGACTACTAGTCCTTGCTTTTACTTCTAAATGCTTGTACAGAAATAAATATGCACATTTAAAAATCTTTGAATTGACCTTGCAGTTAATAAAATCAACAACCTCCAACACTTGAGGCAAGCATGCTACCATGGGGCCACTGAGGCAGTATTCATATTGCATTTCCATTGCCTCAGCAAAATAGTCTTGTTCATTTAGGCCTTGAACATATTTTGTTCAGTTACATATATAAGATACAAACCTTCAGAACAGAATTGAGTATATTTATAGCTGGTTTGTTGACATTGTCTTCCCACTGTGACACATCAGTAGAATCTAATCCATATACTGGAGGGAGACAGGAACCTCTGTCTACAAAATATTACATAAAGATTTATTTATTCTTACATTAATTCAAGGACATGCCCAGAAATTGCTTCATAATATAATCGAAGTTATTCTAAAAACTGTATTGATTTTTAACTTGCAAGTCAACAATGTTTCTGGGCAAATAGTCAGAAAGCAACAAACTACCAAATATTAAAGGGCAATAATTCTATTGAAATAATGTCAATAAAAACAAATCTATCACTTTTGATCATACAGTTACATACTAAATATCAGCTTTACATAGCAGACATGGCAACAAACATTTTGGACTCTTGAACATTTTTTATCATCTAAGTCATGTAGTAGGTCAGCTGGAAAGTAACTCTGTCTCCTTCTTACATACAAAAAGTAGACAGTATCTACAGTTTTCACAATTTGGTTGACAATTTTTTTCAAGAATATATCACATTTTGAATATAAAATAAGAATGAAAGATATTTGGGTGCAAATCTTACTGTTATTTTTGTGATAATTTACTTTTTATCAAGAAGTTGAAGTATTATCAATCAAAAATCTAATTGAAAACCCGCCTCATATTCATATAACCCTTGATTAACCTAATAAATGCACAGCCATATAAAGTTCTATTGAATAAAAACATGTGTTTACCAAAACAACAAGTAATAGTGGTAGACCGACAACTTAGACAAATTCGCCTAGAAAAGAGATCATATACAAGTTTTAGCAAGATATGCTAGATCAACAATAGATATAGGGAAATAGAACTGGTAGATGAGTCTCAAGGCCTCAATGAACTTAAATTGAAAAGTTGCAAAAACTTCACCTGAATGTACACAACGGATATATAATGACTAGCATGTGAAGTACTTTTATCACTTTTAAGAGATATAATGAAACTGTGAGTGAATAGTAAAAGTCACATATATTCATGATTTAAGCAATGTTGCAATTCAAAGCAAAAGGTAAGTGTGGAAAAAGAGATATTACAGCAGAATAATTAACAAATGTGGTCACATGAGAGGCCCAATAAAGGGTACACAATTGAATCAAAGGTAGAAACGACAAAACAAAATATTATAAGAATACAAGAAACTGCTACTACAGGCATATAATATTTATTGCATACATTAAACCAACTATACATAGATTATTGATCAATGATTTATTCCTTTCTCAATGGGTTTTCAGTCAATAAACATTTGCAGGAAATTTTCAAATAGTTTGTAATAACAATTACCCTTTCCGTGCAGCATCAACTCTAAATAGATATTCTTACCGATTTACAAATCATACATTACAATAATTCTACTAATTGATTGTTACAAATCTAAAGAAATAGTGTATCAGGCACTCTCATCTCTGGTCTAACAAATGGACACATCTTTTAAACTAGATACCCTGAGGATGATTGCAGTCAAGATTGGGTTCCAATTAGCCCAGTAGTTTTAGAGGAGAAGATTTTTGTAGAAGTTGATGGACTATAGAAGTCTGATGATGAATGCCAAGTGATGAGATTAGCTCACTCTGGCCTGCTAAAAACTAATAAAATTTGAACCTACATCTTAAGAATCTGTTTTTTACCCATCGAACTTGAGTTCTAGCATATCTTCTTGTCACTAATTTCATTTCTTCAATGCCTGAAAAAAACCCAGATATGTGTCAATTATCTTGAGCACACTTTTAAACTTAATTTTTTTCATCAAAAATTGTCATAAGATATAAATCTAGAGTCATAATGGAAGAAGAATTTAACATTGATATATACAAAATGTAATAATTCTATACTGTACCAAATTTTTTTTTTTTGTGACTTACAGGGAAATTTCACTTGGCTCTAATTGAGAACTTTTACTGATGTATCAGACTATAATGCCAAATAAGAAATTTGACACAAAAAAGCAATTAATAAATGATTTGAATAAAAGGAAATGCTGGGTATATGCAGTTCAATGCGACAGCAACCAAACAACATAAAAAAGTGAAACTTAAAATAAAAATTTAACTGAGAGATATGATTGCTCCATATATATATATATAATGTGGATTCATTTTTATTCGTGGTATACCAATTTTCGTGGGTTTCGTGGGTCACAGCGAACCACGAATATAAGAATTCAGTGAAGAATAATCCCGAGAAATGTGTATGGAGTCGGATGTTTATTTCGGGTTATGTTATGCAGTTCTAGTATAGTGTTGACTAGCGATAAACATTGTAACATTACACGTGTATTGAAAAAAGATACAAGTATTTTGATTAAATCAATAATAAATATATCGAATATCAGTGATAATTTACTTTTTAAAATTGATTAAAACTGTTCATGGAAAATAACTGCAAATTGTTAATTACCGTGTCATAGTTTGGTTTACTGGTGATTGAAAATCAATAGGATTAAGTACGGGGATATTGCCCGTAGGTAACATTGTTTATGACAGGAACATTTATTTTCACACCTTTTACTTATATGACTGTTTATTATATCGTGATTAGGGAAATGAGCTTTCAATCATAGAGTTTTGAATGCCTTATAAAATTCCGACAAGAATTTATAAATTGTAAAACAAACAAATAATTAGTTGTCTCTGTCCATTATTGTAATAGAAGTTTTCAATGAACACTTTAACCTAGATTGACCAAGGGAGGATTTTGACAATTCAAAACTTTTTCAATGAATTCCTTCTTTTTTGTTTGTTTTATTATTGATCAAACCAAGGAGGTTATATGATCTCCAAAATCAAAAAGAAATCCACGAATTACGTATCTGAATTTTTTTATTTTTTTTTAATCAGAGATCCACGAATTTACGTATACCACGAAACGTCTTTTTTTCTCTGTCCACGAAAATTGATACCCACGAAAATAAATGAATCCACAGTATATATAACCATCAAATTCCAATGTAACAGTTCTTCAAAAAAATGCTTCGCAGAGCGCAGCCTGATATGACCGCAGAGATAGAACCCTGAACAGTTCAGGCAAGTTTGGACACAATATTCAAGCTTCATACTGTCTGAATTTGGATTGTGATCAAGTTTTTGACATAATATAGGTTTCTGACACAAAATAAATGTGGTCAAAGATCTTAAAAATTTGAAATGGGATATTTAATTTACCTAGTATGGTCTGATATCCAAAATCTAACAACATGGTTATATTCAGCACATAAAAAACACCAAAAATTTAATTATGGCACCCTCAACACAGTTGGGGTGACGTATTGTTATTCTACGATTTTTTTTTTTCCTTAATCTTCTTCCACACATTTTGTCCATGCAGTTTCTTGGAATTGAATGGACCAATGTTGATGGAACTATACCTCAATGTGGACCAGCATGTGAAGTTGTGCACCTAACTTTGGAATGGTCAAGATGGCTGCCGTTTCCATGGAAACAGCAAAAATCCGAAAATATTCAAAGTGTTCCAAACTGGACGAAACTTCACTATAATAGTAACTGGCATGGCCTGAGCTGCATTTTGAACTTGGAATTTTCAAAATGGCTGCCATTACCATGGAAACAGTTAAAATGTGAAAAATGCTAAATCTTTCATTATAAGACTCAACTGGATGAAACTTTATGGAAATGTTACCCAGTATGCCAAGATGTCAAAACAATATATGGATATTCCAAAATGCCCACCGTTGTCATGGAAACTGGAGAACAATTTTACATTGACCCTATGGGAAAACGCATAAAATCAGCATTTTCTTCAAGAGTATTTCACCAGTGTCAATGAAACTGTATTGATATATAACATGACATGTGGCAATGAGATGTCTGCTTTTAGAATTTTGGAATTATCCACTGTAAGCATGGCTGCAGCAAAAATGTCCAAAATTTCAAAATGCTCAAAACTTACTGAAACTTTACAAAAATGATAATTGGCATGTGTAGATACGCTCTTTGACCTTGGAATTTTTAAAATGGATGGTTGGGGAACGAGGGTGCCATCCGTTATTGCTAGCAATTACAAATCTAGTTTTAGTTGAAATCAAACTCAGTTTAATTTTGGACCCTTCAAGCCTTAATATGGACTAATGTGAAAATAGGGCCCAAAATAAAAAATCTAAAAGCACAATAAAATTCAGCATATCATAGAGCCGCAATAATTCAGTTTTTGATGAAATCAAACAAAGTTTAATTTTGGACCCTTTGGACCTCAATATAGACCAATTTAAAAATGGGGCCCAATATCCAAAATAGTAATACAAGGTTAGAACCCCCCAAAATTAAAGACTTTAAATTAATCCCATTGAAATTGGTTAAGATTTATATTTATTTTCAATTGAAGATTTTTTGCTATTGCGCAATACTGTGCAATTGAAGATTTCTTGCTATTGCACAGTACTGCGCAATTGAAGATCTCTTGCTATTGCGCAATCCTGTGATATTGTGCAATATTGTGCTATTGCCCAATAATGTGCTATTGTGCAATACTGTGCTATTGCCCAACACTATGCAATTGAAGATTTCTTGCTATTGCGCAATACTGTGCAATTGAAGATTTCTTGCTATTGCGCAATACTGTGCAATTGAAGATTTCCTGCTATTGCGCAATACTGTGCAATTGAAGATTTCTTGCTATTGCGCAATACTGTGCAATTGAAGATTTCCTGCTATTGCGCAATTGAAGATTTCCTGCTATTGCGCAATTGAAGATTTCCTGCTATTGCGCAATTGAAGATTTCTTGCTATTGCGCGATACTGTGCAATTGAAGATTTCTTGCTATTGCGCAATACTGTGCAATTGAAAATTTCTTGCTATTGCGCAATACTGTGCAATTAAAGATTTCTTGTTATTGCGCAATACTGTTAATCTGTTATATATAATAATTTACACACCCTGTTTGGTGTGTATCTCCTGCCATATCAGTATTTGTTGCTTTTATATATAAATCAGAAAATAATCAATGTAAAAAAATTTTTTAGAAAAAAAATGATGAAAAAAAAATCCCCCCCTCCAAACTTTTTGAAACTCCCCAAATTTTTTTGAAATTTTGAAGATTATTTTCTTTTCAGGAAAAAAGTATAATTTCAGCGAGTTCCATAAACTTTAACACAAGTTACTGTAAACCAACTTATTTTTCGCCAGCGATTTATTTTCGCGAGTAGAAAAATGACGCGAATATAAATCATCGAGAATATGTAAAACTTGGATCTTTCCGTACTTAACTACATTAAACAAATCTGAAAATCGCGAAATTAAATCGCCGCGAAATGGGCTAGAGAGGGCTAAACGCGAAATAAAGTATCCGCGAAAATTAGTTGTTTTACAGTATTGTCTGGAAACTAGAAAAATGCTTATTTTTGGCCCCTTTTTTGCCCCTAATTTCTAAACGTTAGGGGCAATTACCCAAAAACTCAATCCCAGCCTTCCCTTTGAGGTATGGAACCTTGTATTACAAATTCAGAGAGATCCATACACTAAAACACAAGTTATTGTCTGGAAACTAGAAAAATGCTTGTTTTTGGCCTCCTTTTTTGCCCCTAATTCCTGAACGTTTGGGGCAATTACACCCAAACTCAATCCCAGCCTTCCCTTTGAGGTATGGAACCTTGTATTACAAATTCAGAGAGATCCATACACTTACACACAAGTTATTGGCCTGAAACTACAAAAATGTTTGTTTTTGGCCCCTTTTAGGCCCCTAATTCCTAAACTGTTGGTACCATAACCCCCAAAATCAATCCCAACCTTCCTTTTGTGGTATTGAACCTTCTGGTAAAATTTCATAGAGATCCATTCACTTAAACTAAAGTTATTTTCCAGAAACTAAATGTGTCTTTGGACGCCGACGACGACATGATACCATTATATGAACGCAAAATTTTTTTTGCGGTCGTATAAAAATTCATTACCTTTTTGTAAAAGTTGTTTCCCTTTTTCTGTATCCCTTTTAACATCAGGTAAAAGTAAATAATCATGAAATTCCTTGAATCCAATACTTTGGAATATTCCATGTGTATAGTCTACTTCACTGTAAATAATAAAATGCAGCGTTAAGTGAGAGCTTTGGGGAAAATGTTCAAAATGTAAAATTCAAAGTAATAAACTATTATACAATTTGCCTCATTCTATTAATTGCCCTAAATGGCATCAGTGGCCGAGTGGTCTATATAGTTCATCTACAGCGATTGCTAGCCTGTAAACACTCAGGTTGTGAGTTTAAATCCCGTTTGTGGCAGGTGCAATTTTCATTGACTAGGATTGCCAGTTTTTCTGCCAAAGGGCTGTGGTTCTCAACATGCTCTCTTCCTTCTTCCACCAATAAAAAACTGGCATCCAAGATATAGGCTAATCTGCTAAGAGTGGCGTTAAACACCAACAATCAATCCTAATTGTTTTTAAAACTTAACTTAATCATAAATACTGTCACTGAAGAAAAATATTCTATGCAAAAAAGACTTAATTTGATATGGTTTGTGGCCAAACTACATCAACTACTGGATCAATCCAACCTACCTGAGTACATGATTGCAGGTTAACATGCATTGAAGAAAGGTACGAAGATGTAAAATACAAAAATGTAGGTCAAAATAACATCTTTTGCTGGGAAGCTATCTAACTCCCATAGCTTCATCCTGCAACCATGTTTTATGATTGTTGATCACTTAGTTTCTGATAACTGAATCTTTACCACAGTCACTGAAGAGTGAAATAAAAGTCTAGGTTGTGTACTTTTGTTTTGGAGGCTGTCATACTCCTCTAGACACATCCTTAAACCAAATCATAGGATTATCAGTATACTTTTTCAGTTTCTGAGAACCAAACATGGACATAAACTTAACCCATGTCACTAAAGCAAAAAATGTAGATCAAAGAGACCTACTTTGGATGAGAAGCTGATTTACTCCTATAGATGCATACTCACATAAAGTTGCCTAAATATAAGCAACATAGTATCTGAGAACTAGACTATGACATGATAAGTGTAAATTAATGACTTTATGTCAATCAAAGCTTGAAAACTGGATGTGGACACACACAGATATGACATCATAACATGAAGGCAAATAGTATCTTGTAAAGGTGAACTAACAACAAGAGTGGATAATTATCTTTACTTACAGACAAAAGGAGTAGTGGATAATTATCTTTACTTACAGACAAAAGGAGTAGTGGATAATTATCTTTACTTACAGACAAAAGGAGTAGTGGATAATTATCTTTACTTACAAACAAAAGGAGTAGTGGATAATTATCTTTACTTACAGACAAAAGGAGCAGTGGATAATTATCTTAACTTACAGACAAAAGGAGTAGTGGATAATTATCTTTACTTACAGACAAAAGGAGTAGTGGATAATTATCTTAACTTACAGACAAAAGGAGTAGTGGATAATTATCTTTACTTACAGACAAAGGGAGTAGTGGATAATTATCTTTACTTACAGACAAAAGGAGTAGTGGATAATTATCTTAACTTACAGACAAAAGGAGTAGTGGATAATTATCTTAACTTACAGACAAAAGGAGTAGTGGATAATTATCTTAACTTACAGACAAAAGGAGTAGTGGATAATTATCTTAACTTACAGACAAAGGGAGTAGTGGATAATTATCTTTACTTACAGACAAAAGGAGTAGTGGATAATTATCTTAACTTACAGACAAAGGGAGTAGTGGATAATTATCTTTACTTACAGACAAAGGGAGTAGTGGATAATTATCTTAACTTACAGACAAAAGGAGTAGTGGATGATTATCTTTCCTTACAGACAAAAGGAGTAGTGGATAATTATCTTTACTTACAGACAAAAGGAGTAGTAAGTTATTTCTTCAATAACTTTTTAGTAAATCACTTAGCCTATACTACAAAAGAAATTGAAGTCTGTCAAATACACCTTATCGCTATTTAGTCCATTCCGGAAAAAACTGTCATTTAGACAACTTCCTGTTTGGGTCAATTGTCGCAAAATAAAGGTCATCAGTAATGAGCTGTGGGAGGAAAATATGTAGGAGGTACACATTTTAAAATTTGTATAGTTTATGATCCAATTATTTAAATACAAATTAAAGTAAGAAAAATGCTTTTTTTGAAGAGTTTACAATGGTTTAAACATAACTCTTTGAAAAAATTTAATGCACAAAACATTTAAACAGGGCCCCAGATAGCTTCAACTGGTTTGAAAGAGTTGTTTATTTTGGAACTGATCCGGAATGGAATAAATAGCAATAAGGTGTATTTCAAATTTCCTATTACTTTTTAAGGGAAGACAATAAGGAGTTTTTCAAATTTCCTATTATTTTTCAAGGGAAGGCGATAAGGAGTTTTTCAAATTTCCTATTATTTTTTAAGGGAAGGCTAATATATATCATATTGCTAGTATGTTATTTTTAAAGACCACTGCCTAAGCTGTGATAAAGTACTTCTACAAAATTGGAGAATACCACATACTTATTATCCTTGATTCTAGACGAGTTGTATTGTTTGTGAAAGTCCTGTAATTCTGTTAAAAGTCCTTTATCTATCATCTCATCTACTCTTTTATCTGTTCGTGAATCTAAAACTGAATTAATAGCAGAGAATTTCATTGGTTGTATGGATGGATTGATTGAAATATGTTTAATGTCAACCAGAAAAAAAAGTCAATAATACAGCATTCACAGCAGCGATGTTTTTTTAACTTAATTTGACAGAATTGAACAAAACTGACTGCTAAAAGCATAATATCACATCTATACTCCACTTTTATAAATATTTAAAACAAAAAAATCATATTTTTATTTTATGTCTAATTTGTAGCTAATGCCCCTTTAATGTGATATGAATATAAACCCTGCTTTGTACTTGACACATATGCTAAGCTGTATTTGTAATCTCTTAGCACACAATGTAACCTTGAAAGAAGAAAATCACCCCCAAACATTATTCTAACTCAGAGCAAACCATTTTTTGCTCCATTCCTAAATGCCTAGAGCTTAGTGGAGAAATAGCAAATACCAATTTTACAGTCTTTGGTTTGGCTCAGTCAGGGATCAAATTCCCAACTCCCTACGATTCAGGCTGGCATGCTACAAAGAGATGACCAAGGTCAATAAGAATTTCGTATTTAAAATTCCATCTTAAGCTAAAAATTAAGTAAGAGAACGGAAACAAAAAATTCAGCAATATTTCCATTTGTATTAAAAGGAGCATAACTCTAGAACAGTAAAAGTGATACCACCAAAATTCAAACTTCATTTGCATTTTGTGGTAATAAGCATTATGTATAAGTTTCATAACATTTGGTTGAGGCTAACATAAGTTAGAGAAAGGAAACAAAAATTCAACAATTTTTCCATTTGTAACTCTAGAACGGTTAAAATGACACCACAAAAATTGAAACTTGATCTGTATTTTGTAGCAATAAGCATTGTGTATAAGTTTAATAACATTTCATGGAGGCAAACAAAAGTTAGAGAAGAACGGAAACAAAAAATTCAGCAATTTTTCTATTTGTAAAGGGGCATAACACTAGAACGGTTAAAGTGACACCACTAAAATTCAAACTTGATCTGTGTTTTGTGGTAATAAGCATTGTGTATAAGTTTCATAACATTTCATGGAGGCAAACAAAAGTTAGAGAAGAACGGAAACGAAAAATTCAGCAATTTTTCTATTTGTAAAGGGGCATAACACTAGAACGGTAAAAGTGACACCACCAAAATTCAAACTTGATCTGTGTTTTGTGGTAATAAGCATTGTGTATAAGTTTCATAACATTTGGTTGAGGCAAACTAAAGTTAGAGAACGGAAACCAACTTTGGGATGTACGGACGGACAGACGTACAGATGAACATGGGTAAAACTTAATGCCCCCTCCACTACGACGGGGGCATAACTAGCTTTCCTTATTATATACTATTTATAGAATGTGTGTTGCATAACAAGGATAACAGGAATGACCAAAACTATTGGAAAGTACACACCAACCAACAACTCCTCTGAAAAAAAACACACACAAACAAGGACAAAAAACAAAGAACAACACATTGTCCAGATAGCCTGAAACAGTACAGGTGCAACATTTTTAGTAATTTTGTAACTAGTGGGGTTCAAATTCTAGTAATTTTGTAACTACATATGACGGAATTATAACGAATGCATGAGTTTTGACAAGGTACCTTGTTTATCGGCTTGTATCCAGAATATACATGTGTTGTCATAACGAAGCTGTCCTCTAAGAGATTCTTCTCCTATCTCTGATTTCTGACTTTCTAAAATTTTACTCATTTCTACACCATGGTTTTGGTATACTTCTAAAGCCCTGAAATATAATAGATAAATGTGGATAGTGTCCACATGTGGACACAGATGATGCCCCCGCTTGCATATCATATAGTTATAAAGGGACATAACTGAAGAACGGTAAAAGTGACGCTACCCAAATTTGAACTAGATCTGAGTTTTGTGGTAATAAGCATTGTGTGTAAGTCTCATAAAATTTGGTTGAGGCTAACTAAAGTAGAGAACAGAAACTAAAAATTCAGAAATTTTCTATTTGTAATAAAATTGAGAATGGAAATGGGGAATGTGTCAAAGAGTCAACAACCCGACCATAGAACAGACAACAGCAGAAGGTCTCCAACAGGTCTTCAATGCAGCGAGAAATTCCCGCACCCGGAGGCGTCCTTCAGCTGGCCCCTAAACAATTATATATACTAGTTCAGTGATAATGAACGCCATACTAAACTCCAAATTGTACACAAGAAACTAAAATTAAAAATAATACAAGACTAACAAAGGCTAGAGGCTCCTGACTTGGGACAGGCGCAAAAATGCGGTGGGGTTAAACATGTTTATGAGATCTCAACCCTCCCCCTATACCTCTAGCCAATGTAGAAAAGTAAACGCATAACAATACGCACATTAAAATTCAGTTCAAGAGAAGTCCGAGTCTGATGTCAGAAGATGTAACCAAAGAAAATAAACAAAATGACAATAATACATAAATAACAACAGACTACTAGCAGTTAACTGACATGCCAGCTCCAGACTTCAATTAAACTGATTGAAAGATTATGTCTTCATCATATGAATATCAGGCACAATCCTTCCCGTTAGGGGTTTAGTATCATACGATCATAACATATATGAGAAGAACATAACCCGTGTCATGCCAACAACTGGTTTTTAAATAAATGTGTTTAGTACCGATGCAAAGATCCTATAAGTGAATCAATATTAACGCCAAAATATGCAATCTTTAATGACCTGACAACAGTATCGTAACTATATCCCTTCTTAATAAGTCTATTTAAAGGTTTTGTTAGCTTCAGAGGTGAATACTGACATTTTTGTGCCATATAAAGAATATTACCATAAAAAATTGGATGTGAAATACCTGAACGTATAAGAAGTCTGCATGTTGAGCTATATTTACGAATGATTTCCTTATACCGATGATAAAATTTAGTAAATGTTTTGACTAGTTTGTGATATCGAAAACCCTGGTGTAATAATTTTTCAGTAATACATAAATTTCTCTCGTTAAAATCTAAAACATTGTTACATACACGAGCGAATCGTACAAGTTGAGATATATAATCACCGTAAGATGGTGACAAGGGAACGTCACCATCTAAAAATGGATAATTAACGATAGGAAATGAAAAATCATCTCTTTTATCATATATTTTAGTATTAAGCTTTCCATTAATGATATAGATATCAAGATCGAGGAAAGGGCAGTGGTCATTGTAAGTATTAGCTTTATTTAAAGTAAGTTCAACAGGATAAATTTCTTTAGTATACATACTGAAGTCGTCATTATTGAGAGCCAAAATATCATCCAAATATCTAAAAGTATTATTAAATTTGTGTATCAGATGTTGTTTTGATGAGTCTTTGCTGATTTTTGTCATAAATTGTAACTCATAGCAATACAAAAAAAGGTCCGCAATAAGTGGTGCACAGTTAGTCCCCATTGGAGTTCCGATAACCTGACGATATACGGAATCTCCAAAGCCAACAAAAATGTTATCTAGTAAAAATTCAAGGGCATATATAGTATCAAAGCATGTCCAATTGACATAGTTTTTTTGTTTAATTGCTACTAAAAATTGACCTAAAAGAGTTTGAACATATATATTCACATTCTGACTTTTTAAATGCCCATTTAATTAGGTGTGTGAATTTTTTCTTAATGAGAATGTGAGGCAATGTGGTATATAGGGTAGAAAAATCAAAACTTTGAACAGATTCAAAATCACCAATATATGCATGTAATTTATCAAGTACTTCCAACGAGTTCTTGACACTCCAAAAGTAATTAATTCCACTATTTTCGAAGGCCTTATTTGAACAATTTATTATCAGGTTTTTGATTGTATCAAGTGAACTGGTAAGAAGAATAGACAATTTAGTAGTGGAACAATGGCTTGAAGACGAAATGAATCTATATTTGTAAGGTGTTTTGTGTAGCTTCGGAAGCCAATACGCATAACTCTAGAATGGTTGTGTATAAGTTTTATAACATTTGGTTGAGACAAACTAAAGTTAGAGAACGGGACCGAAAAATTCAGCAATTTTTATGTTTATAAAGGGACATAACTCAAGAATGGTAAAAGTGTCGCCACCAAATTTCGTACTTAATCTGTATTATGTAGTAATAAGCATTGTGTATAAGTTTCATAACATTTGGTTGAGGCAAACTAAAGTTAGAAAATGGAAACAAAAAATTTGTACTTGATCTTAGTTTTGTGGTAATATTGTGTAACGGTTTCATAATGTTTGGTTGGGGCAAACTTAAGTTACAGAATGGAAACTAAACATTTTGCAATCTTTCGATTTATAAAGGGGCATAACTCAATAATTGTTAAAGTGACATTACCCAAATTCAACCTGATCTGTGTTTTATCAGTGGAAGTCAAAATTAAACATTGCACTGTATAAAGCATTGATTGTAGTTGATTCAACTATAATCATGGACAAAGGAAGATAACTCCAATTTTAAAAATTACTTGATATTTAGAAGAAAATAAAAATTTTGCAATTTTTCCATTTATAAAGGGGCATAACTCTAGAACGGTAAAAGTGATGCCACCAAAATTCAAACTTGATCTGTGTTTAGTGGTAATAAGCATTGTGTATAAGTTTCATAACATTTGGTTGTGGCAAACTAAAATTGGAGAACGGAAACAAAAAATTCAGCAATTTTTCCATTTGTAATGGGGCATAACTCTAGAACGGTAAAAGTGATGCCACCAAAATTCATACTTGATCTGTGTTTTGTGGTAATAAGCATTGTGTATAAGTTTCATAACATTTGGTTGAGGCAAACTAAAGTTAGAGATCAGAAACTAAAAATTCAGCAATTTTTCCATTTGTAAAGGGGCATAACTCTAGAACGGTAAAAGTGACACCACCAAAATTCAAACTTGATCTGTGTTTTGTGGTAATAAGCATTGTGTATAAGTTTCATAACATTTGGGTGAGGCAAACTAAAGTTAGAGAACAGAAACAATAAATTCAGTAATTTTTCCATTTGTAAAGGGGCATAACTCTAGAACGGTAAAAGTGACGCCACCAAAATTCAAACTTGATCTGTGTTTTGGGGTAATAAGCATTGTGTATAAGTTTCATAACATTTGGTTGAGGCAAACTAAAGTTAGAGAACGGAAACCAATTTTGGGACGTACTGACGGATGGATGTACAGATGGACAAGGGTAACACTTAATGCCCCCTTTGCTGCAGCAGGGGCATAAAATACAACTCTCCATTGATCACTAGGACAACTGTTAAAGCTTTAGTTTGAAATTTAAAATTCAATACAGCTGGTAACTTAATCAGAATCTAAAAAAGAAAGAAAAATCTAATTTACCCTTAGTTATCTACTGTGGATCCATTTATTTTCATGGATTACGGAAAAATTATATTTTTGTGGATATAAGATGTCCTGGTTTTACAAAAGTCTGCATACAAACTTATAGAAATTTTACTTCCTTGAACATTTTAATTTCGTGGTTCACCTGTAACCAAGAAATCCATGAAAATTGGTGTATCACAATAATAATGAATCCACAGTATTAAACATGAAGTGATTATAACTTATGAAAAATAAACAATGGTACCGCTAAGAATTTAAAAAAGTTATAGCAATCAGGTTAGAAATAATTTGTACAACTTTATAGGTTGCACTTTGTAAATACAGCTATTTCATAAACCGCGCCTCTTTTGAGGAGATATTTAAAATTCATAGATATTTTGTTTTGTTTACCTACTGGTTCCCAGATATGATCTCTATGTTTCATCTCAGAGAGACACAAAATGGAAAATTTACCAGTATGAATACACATGGATAGCGGCCAAATTAAATTCTGAGGAAGACCCAAAGTGAAGGGAGGGATAGTACAGAATTATAGTACATGTATAAGTTTAAACTCTCAGAAATTCGAGGCATATAAATGTTGAAAATATGCCGCTGCACAGCCCTATGTTTTGACCTTTAAAAAAAAAGTAGTAGTAGTGCATATGAACTTTCCATTCTAGGATATAATTTTTTTTACGAAACTTCATAGTAAAAGTGGCACAATTTTAGCCGTAAAAGGAGCTTCTATGGGAAATTGCATTGTCTATATTTACAGAAGTGCAACCTATAGGGGGAAATACATTTTATTCCAAAAAATTATGGAATGAAAATGCATTCAAAACTTTGAAGGTGCTATTTTGAGATCATGCATTCACCTAATTATTTTTCGTTTGTTACGAGGATGTATCCTTCTTCCTTGTTTTTCATCAATTTCCATCAGTTTTTGATGTAGAACAAGTGTATCTTCTTCCTCATATGACTGTTTGAAACTGTTGTCAACACTTTCAACATCACAATTTCTGTTACATTCATCCTGTTCAATTATTTCTTTTTTTACTTCTGGGTTTTCTGATTCCCTGCATTGTGTTGCTGTCTCAGAGGTAACATCAACTGTAGATAGTTTGGGAAGTTTTGCAGATGCCTTTTCAATATCCTGCAATGTGAATCATATGTCTTTAGAGTAATCTCCCTTGCACCAATAACTATGCAAAAAAAAAAAATGTTGTCAATAAGGTAATGATGGAGGAAAAACCTGCTAAAACACTTAAAAAACACAATACTACATATAGCCAAACCTTTTTACAGGTTAACCCATGCTCACAAAAAAACAACAACAAAAAGAACCCAGATAAAAACAAATATTACCAGTATCTGTTCAATTTGAATGTGCAAGAATATTTGTCACTGGACATTTTAATTACAATTAATATATCATCTATTATAGAAATACAAAAGTTATGTGAACAATGTTTTAACACCTGGGTCCAGAAAAAATACAAAAATACAAAAAGTGAATATGAGTAGATAATAAATGAGTGGAAGCTGTAAATTCACATATTTTTTTATAATCCACTGATGCCTACTGTAGAGAAACACATTATTTATGTGCTAAGTTAGAATTTCAGAGGTTAATATCTTTCCAAATGTTGTATATTTTTGAGCTACCTAAGATAATATATTTAAAATATAACTTTAGGGTTTAAAATCTCTGACTCCTATATGACATTGAACTCATATATATCTTCAAACATTGAAAAAGAAGCAATACATGTAAAATACATTTGTTTTCAATAATAAGATTTTCATTTTTTAATCATTCATAAACCAGCTGAACTCCACAAATCTAAAATAAACAATGTCAAACCAGTAATGTATATCGGGGAGGGAAAAGGTGGACATTGTACTGGTGATCAAAACAATACTAAGTTAATGTGGGTCAATTATGTATCTATAACTGGAATTACTGGCATAAATTCAGTTAATTAGTTTCCATATCCATGAAGTTTATTTTGGTGCATGTCAACTTGATCCCAACAGTGCAAACATGAATGTAAATGAGAATTTTCCCATGCTCATTATAATGTAATTTGACTGTCTAAACTTCACTCCAGGTGGGATGCATTTTACCTACTGGATGTCAGAATGACCCATATAGATAAATGCTATTGCTTTTCCCCATGTGTGAGCAATTAACAGATATATTAACCACTTGTTAAGTTCATTACATAACAATTTTGGATGTAAGAAAGGTTAAAGGTCAACCAGAGTTCTAAGGATACAGAAAATATTTTAAAAATACATGTAAACTATGTCTCGAAGGTAATTCTGTATAATATAGAAAGTTGACTTAACATTAGCTTGCTATTTCAATAAGAATAAGAATAAGAATATTTATTATTCCAATCAAGGGCCCTTGATGGGCAGCATAACATGTACACATAAAACAATACATCATGATTTGTAACAGAAAAACATTTTTATATATTAAAATGAAACATTAAAAAGTTCAGACAGATGTTATTATCTTCATTCTATAAAAAATCACATACATTTAATTCCAGGCAGGATCAGAACTATAAAATCATTACAATTATCATTGTTATTACATACATTAATTAACATTTCGTCTAACATCTAGACAAATATATATTTGTACATCTGTAAATGGTGTAACAATGGAAACAACTCTATCACTAGTCCTGAAATCCATAACTCTGTGTATCTTTTATATTTATTTCGACTAGCATAAAAAAAGTCCAATTAAAAAAAAAAAGAAGCTACACAGTGTCTGAGAACTACCATTATCACAAACTGCCAATTATTACCCCGGATTCATTATTATTCATAAGATACCAAATTTCACCAATTTTGTGGGTACAGGTGAACCATGAATTTAAATGTTCCACGATATACACATTATTGGCTGAATGCAGACCTCGAAAAACCACAAAACGTAATACATGTATGGTCAGATCATATGTTTTCGTACGTCATATGAATTCGTACTATGCATGCTTTTTCAATGGACATATTTTCCTTAATCCACAAAAATTGGTACCCACGAAAAATAAATGAATCTACAATATGTACATAAAGGACAAACTAGAGTTGTACTTTCCTTGTCCAAAATCTGGTTGATAAATGGTAAGATGTAATTTATTTAAACACTCCTAAAAAATTATTCATTCATGTTTTTACTATTCATTTGTTCATTAATCACTCTTGTTTCAAGTCATTTCAAACTGTTTTTATGCCTCATACTTTGAAATCATGTCATCTATATTTTTTACAAATTAAGTGAACAATTTCACAAATGTAATGAATGTATTTCATCAGTCACTTTTCTGACAATTCAAACTCCATTTTACATAATTTACAGTGATAAAACCTACAACTTTGTCAATTACTACCAGCTGATAAACAGTGTGTGGTTAATGTATGAATGGGATTGCTAAATGTTTATATTGTGTCTGGGAAAATTCTCACAGTATCCATGGGGGGTCATTCCTGCAATTCTACAAAATATGATTTACAGAATTCTGATGAAGGGTGAAAGGAAACAGTTCACCTGTGACCTGTCTCTCTAGCACTTGATGAAGTTGAGGGGAAACAGTTCACCTGTAACCAGTCAAATCAGCTGATTTTAATTGGTTTTATGGTTTTACACTGTTTTCTTGTATGGGAACAGTAAGACAAGGCTATACTATTTCACTTATGTAACCACTGAGTCAATTAGTTCATCAACAGGCTTGCCTGACAGGAAGTCTGAAAGCTTTATTGTTTTAAAAATCTCTCAAGAAAACATTGATAGCTGCAGGTCTTTGATTTATAAAGAGAGATTGATTGTGAAGTGACTCCCATGGTGATAGTAAACAACCTGTTTGATCTGAATTATTCCTTTATCTATTCTTCTAAAATATGATATTTTTATAAGAAACATTGAGGGGAGAGGAAAGGGTGTACCGAGTTGAAGTACATTAAACAACTATCTTTTGAAATACTCTATGAAAAGAATAATACAGCTCAGCATCAGTAGTTTTTATATTATTGACCTGTAGTTTTTCGAATACAAACCCTATGCAGGATTCAAAAATAGGACAGTTGACAGTTTGCCCCTGGCAATCTCTGCTGTAACCATATCAAAACATTGAAAGTATGTGAAAAGGACATTTTATGTTCTTCAAAAATTTTTGTTTATCTAGATCACTTCCATTATAACTTGATTTCTTTTAGAATCTGATGAATTTTCAACAATAGGTTATGATTTGTTGTAAACTACATGTAAGTAAAAGCAGTAAGATAAGTCTTGAACTGAAACATTTAGAAATTGCCATTTCTATCATAACATAATAGTTACTGATATTCTCATAGGAATACTGACAAAAGAAAGCGCACATAATTGGCAATTCAACAAATATTCAAACATTACATCTGCAAAATTGTCAAAAATACCTGATCAAGAAGTCAGTATACTGGTCATGTTCTGTAACATATGTGTTATCACTTTATATGTATTATTCAGTTACAATTAATTCTGGTTATCCAATTTTTATATATAGTAATAATAAAAGAATTTTAATTTTAATAGTGTTACTGTTATAATTCCTTTTAAGACACAGGACTTATATTCACAGATTTTCTTTAATATTGCTTAACTGAATCTCCATTAGAAAATATTTATGTAACATTTGAAGGGTTACCAAAAGTTAAGTAATGTGCCATAGACCCAGAGTTTAAATCCTCTTATTTAGTATTCAATATTACTAAATCATAACTTGGGTGTTAATTTTTTGTGTGAAATTTTATGTGTGTTTTATATCATTATTTCATATATATTTTTGAATTAAAAATTAAATACTGTAAATTGAGAAATTATTGAGTGCATTTTTATTGTGATTACAGGAAAAGCTGCACACAAATATATGCATCAAATTATAGAATGTGAGTTTTTATTATTATGGCGATACTCACCCAGTCGCATTATTTGTAATAAAACCTTGCAATAGTTTCTATATTTACAGTATTGTGAAATTTAGAGGGAAAGGACAAGAGTATGTTCCCCCAACTGTCCAATGCAATGTTTCCTAAAACAAGTAAAAATCATAAATTTGTGTATTTTTTCTGTAATGAACAAAATTAGATGGAGAAAGGAAACTGCAGCAATGACAGAATAATCCAACAACAAAAAAAAACCCTCCAAAATACATCTAGTGGTCCACAAATTGTTTCAACAATAGACATGTGTCAGTGTCTGTATCATAAGTCAAACTCTTATACATCAGAAATCTAGACAAGATGTGAATATAGAGACTACCAAAGATCTGTCATCAAATGACAAGTGACAACAAACCAACACTACAATACAACTACCACTGAGGAGGTTAATAGGTAACCTTGGGATACTAAGGATGTTTCCATCAAGGACTTTTAATGTGGCTGTTTTAATATTTATCATGCATAATTTGGCTATAACAATCATTTTTAACTGTTTATTGCACATTATTTTGGTATATAAAGCAATTCCTAAGATTTTATGACTGCTAATTTGCTTTTACCAATTATTTTTCAATTAAGTCAATAAAATAACAATATGTAAATTCAAGTACTGTAATAAATAGCTGTTAACTCTATGGATTATGGGGGGAAGCAATTAGACTGCCTATGCTATTTAACAAATAATAAAATGATATCAGTTTAACCTCCAAATCAACCTTGTAAGTTTAATTGATCATAACTGATGATCTGTACTTCCTACTGTGTAACATGCTGGTTTTTACTTCCCACCACAACATCAAGGTTAAATTTTGAAAAAATATGACATAGTGAAAAACCTATCAAAAAAAAACCATATATATTTCAACTACAGGTACTGCAAGCAAAGTTCACAAAATGATACCCCCTGCTCCTACATAAAAGTAATGGCAGTCTATGAGTATGGTTCTAACATGGTCAAATCTGACCTGTGACCTTTAGGGTTTGGTAGGTGACCTTGCAACCTGATGTCTCATTTACAAGGACCTGTGACCTTTAAAAATGTTCAAAACTGAGAATCAGGTCAGTTTAGAACTGTTTAGTGACCTGGCCTTTCATTCATAAAACTTTATTCAATACTAGGAGAATGAAATTTGTGCTCGAAATACCAAGTCCAGCATT